CTCCTGAGGATTTGTTCCCTCTGCTTCCCCTGCCCCAGAGCTCAGCACCATTTGCACCATGCGTCCAACGTGCATCCACCAGCATCAATGGGAATCTGTCCTTCTCCCAGGCTGGCTAACATTTCAGCTCATCCCTTACACGCAGACCAGAGACAATAAACACAGCTTGGGCTAACCATGCCCTGGCCTTGCAACAGCTGGTCAGCTCCTACTTAAAGGCTGGCTAAAGACATACTCTTGCCAAATAATCCATTTCACTGGATCCCATAAGTATTTAATGATGGTATTTTATTACAGATCACCTGGCGGGGCTGGCCCAAGGAGGCACTACAGGAATTCACAGGGCCTCATAATGCATTAACCAATGAGACGAATTACAGCATATTAAAGTCCATTTACAAATACAGCAGCAATGTCTATTATTAACGTAACAAGCCCCTAATAAGCAGCGACAGGTCAGTCCTGTTAGAAACAGGGGCAGGCAAACCCTGGATCTGGATTTTGCATTTGGCCGGGAGGTTCCAGCTGCAAACAGCAGCCCCATTGCTGGAGCAGGAGATTAGGCCTCAGTTTGCCCCTGACTCTGGTCCCATTGCCAAGGAAGGGAACCGAGCTGGCCCATAAGTTGTAAGCATGTGCAGGGCCCCCAAGCCGCCCTTATGCTTAAGGTCCTCTCTGATCAATGCACTCACAGGGAGACAGACCCATCCACAGCAAGTGTCACTAATTATACTAGCGAATGCCCCTGCCCCGCCTGTTTGCTGAGGTGACACATCACATCTCTTTTACAAAGCGAGACCCAGGCACAAAGAGACACTTGCCGCAGGTCAGAGACAGGGCATGGCCATGGCACCCAGGAGCACTATGGTAGCAACAGACCTTCTCCACATCGCCGTCACCAGGGTCAACGTCCTTTGTTTGTCTCGACTCAGCTGCCTTTAGAAGCACGTGTCCCACCCTGCCAAGGAACTGCCCCGCAGCAGCGCCGGTCAGATGGGCTCAGCTGAGCCCCCTTGGCGGTCTATGGCACTCAAGAGATGAAGGAGCGAAGCAGCAGGGGAGCAGTAGGGGGTTGCCAGGGGAGATGATCCACTCCAGGAAGTTTCACACCATCTGCATAACGAAGAGGCTGGAGAAGCCCTGGCCCAGGGGCTCCTATTCTAGTTTGGTAGCAATATTATTGCTTCCCGCGGGCTGCTGGCTTGCACCAACCCTGCAGGGAGGGAGCATTTGCCACAGTACCAGGCTAACCTCTAATCTCTTTTGAAAAGCTCCATGTAAAAGGTCACTTCTCCCTGGCCAGCCTTCAGAGATGGGCAGAAGAGACCTTGCTTTAACATCTCATCGGAAGCATGCCATCTCTAAGGGCTTGTGTACACGGGGAAACTTACTGGCATAATCATACCTCTACAGTGATACCCGTGAGCCATTTTTAAACGACTCGCGCTGGTGAAAGGGGTCATACGGCCCCTTCTGTAGATGGACGCTTGCTGCCCACAATAGAGGTAGCAGTACAGCAACAATCCTTACACCATCCACCTGTAACCCCAGAACCAACTCGGCCCCGGACCTGCCGTGGCTGGGAGGGGGCAGCCCAAACCCAGTCCCGGCTCAGACCTGCCGCAGCCGGGGGGGGCACCTATCCCACGGCCCCAGCCCCGAAGCTACGGCAGGGAGAGGCACCTCTCCCCACAGCCCAGGTGGTGCAGTGGGGAGAGAGAGCTGGAGGGAGTTCTCTCTCCGCGCCGTAGCACCGGAGCACCCTTATGCACCCAAAACTCCTCATCCCCGGACCCACCCCAGAGTCCACACCCCCAGACGGAGCCTCCATCTCCTGCACCCAACCCTCTGCCCCAGCCCTGAGCCCCTCATCCCTGGCCCCACCTCAGAGCCCGCACCCCCAACCCACAGCCCTCATGCCCCAGCATCCCAACCCTCTGCCCCAGCCCATAGCCCCCTCCTACACTCCAAACCCCTCGGCCCCACCCCCACCAGATGAATTTTGTTATGTGCACAATGATAAATCTTGGAACAGGACAGAAATGAAATTGCAACAGAACCTAAGGAATTAAAAGCCTCTGGATTCTTGTGTGTGCATTGACGCCTAATGGAAACTGTAATTTGACTTGCTTTGTGTCTGTGGCCAGTAAAATATCAGGATAAAGTCACTCTAGTGATTGTGACACTGGGTTTGAGGAAGCTTTGGTCTTATTAAAATGTAATTAGCATGTTACACTTGTGTTTTTAAAGGTGGCTTCCCCAAGCAATCCCAAATTGTTCTTCCCACAGCTGGCTGATGGTGGGCAGCAGGAGATCTCCCCAATCTGGGGGAATCTCTCTGGGCCCCACTGTTAGTTCTCCATCCTTTCTCCCGCTAATCACACACACCCCTCCCCTCCCCATTATCAATGTTTTAGAGTGACCCTTCCCTTCCTCCCTTTATGGGATTCAGACTCTCTGTGACAGGACTGACGGGGGTCTCCTCTCTGCATGGCCCCAATGGGGAAGGAAAGAGACTGGGGGGCAGAGGGGAGAGAGAAGATGGGCTGAAGGAGTCAAATGGGGCTAAACCAGAATGGAGGAGATTTTCTTCCTGGTAAAATGTACTGGAGTCTCATCTCTGAAAAGCCGCATCTTGAGATAGGTTTGAACCAGCAGCCTTTCAATTACCAGGCAAAGGTGTGAACCACAGAGAATGATAACTGCCTACTTCCCAACTTCATCTAAAAAGCACTTGCAGTGGTGCAACTGGTTAGTTCAAAGAGGAATACTGTGGGCGTTATGTATTCAAGCCTTACCTGGAACACTGGTTTCTATTACCTGTGTTGTTTCCCCAACTCGCTTTGCCTAATTCACATGGAAAGTGCCATACCAGGAAAAGGAGAGTAAGTTCTAAAATGTGGAAGTGGGTGCATAGCTGTGAAACATCCACCCTATGCTGCCATTAGTTCCAGTAGATTGTTCACTGGCAGGGTGAATTGATTCATTTGCTGCTGAGAAACCTGCCAGGACAGGCCTCTGGGCACCAGATCTCCCTGCTTCTTCCAGAACACCCCTGGCTTCTTCCCTGCTCCAGTCACTGCTGAAGGAGGGTCCTATATGCACTGAGCCAAAAGTTTTTCCAAGCCTTCTTAGCGCAGTTGGCAGCCTCAGAACCTCAGAGTTCAAGCATCAGAGAAGACAATGGTTTTTGCTCTCTGCTTCAGATTTTCTAATGGAAATCAGAGAAAAGAAACTATAGGAGAGTGGTTTCTAGACACCCTCCCACCCATCTAACACACACACACACACACACACAGAGACTTTTCTAAGTCATTAACTTTTCCTTCTCTATGGAGTTTGTATTCTCCATAGAGCAAAATAAAACAAAACGTGCAAGTCTAAGCCTAATACAGTATGAAACTCAATACAGATAAAATCTCACCCTCAGAAATGTTCCAATAAACTTCTTTCATGGACTAGACTTATTTCTAGTCTGGGCCCAATCTTTTCATGTGGTATAGTCCTTGTTCCAGCTCAGGTGGTAGCTAGACGATCTCTCATGATTGCAGCCACCTTTGTTCTTTTCCACCCCCTTATATAGCTTTGGTACAAGGCAGGAATCTTTTGTGTCTCTCCTGGGGAAAAGCCCCAGGTTTAAGATGGATTCCTGTACCAGGTGACATGGTCTACTTCCTCACCTGTTCACTGGCCTTGCAGTCTGGAGGAAGAAAGGCCTCAAAGCGCTGTGTGCTGACTTTTTGAGCAAATGCAGGGCTGGCCAGGGAGGCATGTTCCCACTGGGTCCTCCCTGCCAGAATAAAATTGTCCCCACAGAGTCCTCCTTGCCAGAAGTCAACAGAGATCAAGGGCTCCCCTGCTGGTCCCATGGTGTAGGGCCGGCACTCAGGGCTTTGAATCTTGCAATCAAAGTTTGTCTCAATGGGACCTTGGGGTCCTTTGGTTGCCAGCTAGCCATCCTGGGATTTCCAAAGCTTCATCTTGCTCTCTCAAATGACATGGTAGCCTGTCTTTTGCCTGCTAGCTGTTGTGACTTGAGCGCAAGAAAGGACGTTTGATCCAGAAGGCTGGCCATGCCTGGAGTCCTGTAGATAGGATGCGAGCTGCACTTCCTCTCAGTCCTGAAGCTGGGCTGCAGCCTGGCCTAGG